CTACTAGCTTTATACCCCAAGGAAAACATTGATAAGAATGCTATACACTAAAATATTTGTAGCAGTACTTTTTGTGACAGTAAAGAATTGGAAACAGAGAATATTGTTGTTGATTGAGAATGGCTAAACAAATTGGTATTAATTAACAATATTACTGTGATGTAATAAATTATGAATATAATAAATATAGAGAAAATGGAAAGATTTACATGAATGAATGCAGTGTGAAGTACATAGAATAGTTAACACACACTGCAGTCAGATAATCAAATAATATTTATTAATAACCTACTTTCTGCCAGGTATTGTGCTAAGGGATAATGGTATAGGGAAAGGCAAAATATATTTCCTGTTCTCAAGGAGCTCATAATCTAATGGAGTAGACAACATGCAAACAATTATGTACAGACAAGACATACATAGGATAAATTGAGGGTAGTCTCAGAGTGAGGGCACTAAGATTATAAAGGATTGGGAAAAGTCTTCTTGCAAGAAACATTTTTTACTATAATTTTTAAAAGCTATTTTAAAATATCAATCAATCACTTTCCTTCTTATCCTAGACTAATTAATTTATGAATCAGTACAACCTTTTTGGAAAGCAATTTGAATTATGCAAATAAAGTGACCAAAGTGTCTGTGTTCTTAACCCAGTGATTCATTCCACTACTAGGTTTATATTCCAAGGAAGACATCATTTAAAAAGCTATACAGTAAAATACTTATAGCAGCACTTTTTTTGTGACAGTAAAGAATTGGAAACAAAGCTGATTGCAGAACTTTAGCTGAGACTAGAAAGAATCCATACAACCAAAGAGGCAGAAATTAGGAAAGAAACCATTCTGGGCATATGGGCAACCAATGAAAATGTTCAGTCCAGAGATGGAATGCGGAGTGTGAGTAACAGCAAAGGATGCCAGTGCTATTGTACTCACAGAAAAGGGCCAGGTTATGCAAGACAGTAAAGGCCAGAAGGTTTTATATTTGATCCTGGAGGTGACAGGAAGCCACTAGAGTTTATTGAATAGGGAGGAGAGTGATACAAACTTACATTTTAAGAGATCAATTTGATAGCTACTCAGCTATCAAAGAGGATTGATCGGTTTGGGAAGAGGTGAGGCAGGAACACCAAACAAAAGGCTTTTGGAGTACTGCAGCTATGAGGCGATGTGGGACTGCCCAAGAGTGATTGCAGTGTGAGAGGAGGGAAGAGGTTGTTTACAAAATGATGAAGAGGTAGAATCAGCAGAATCCGGCAACTGGTTGGATTTGGGTGGGGTGAGAAGCAGTAAGGAGTCAAGGATGATAACTACCTACATTCTGAAACTAGGTTACTGGAAGGATGAGGGTACTTTCACTGGTAATAGGAATGTTAGAAAGAGGAGAGGGTTTGGGGGAAAAGATAATTAATTTGGTTTTGGACATGCAAGGTAACCATAAAGAACCACCACCAGAAAAAACAATCAGAAGTGTCATATCAATAGATCTCTCAAATAATAAACTAAGCTTGGAGCCCTCCTCAGTTCATAAAGTACTGTATATTTAATGAACTGGAGAAAGTGTTTTTTGCAATCCATAGTCTCACCCAGTTTGGGAGGGTCACAGTTAGCTTAACCTAGGCCAGTTTAGTTTCCCCTTCCACCAAACAGTACACACAAGACAATCACAAGTATCAAAGAAAACGTTACAGTGGGAGGTATACATATATGTATACATGTATGAAATACATGTTCAGGTTATAGAAAATAAAGAGGCTTTGTGACTGACTCTGAATTGAGATGAAATCTAAGCTCAACCAAAGGGAGAAGAAACTCACCCAGGAAGTCTGCTTTTTGGAGTCTCTAGGAAAGGCAGGAATTGGAAATCAAGGGGCATGTTGGGTTACCAAATTTCCGCATATTCATGTGACTGGCCTCCTGTTCATGCCAGCCTTTTTATACACAGTGCACAGAATGACAGTATTCTTCTTCAGGGGACTGTCAAAAATATCTGGGGTGAGAATGGGGCTGCATTCCTCTTACACAAGTATCTACTAAGCATAGTAGCAAATAGTATGCTAAGCCCATAATAGTTAGTCATCTCTCTACATATTCAATCCTTTATTCTTCAAGGACTAGAAATTTTAAAGTTGCTGAATATACAATTTATTAATAATGAAATCAATAATTAAAAACTGCATTGAGAGCAACTTTGAGAACAACTAATCACAGCCAGAGACACCTCAAATCCTCAGTATAACTGCAGGTGATTTTTTTTTCGTTTCTGGGAACAAATAAAGTATTCTGTGCAATGATCCTCTGTTTTGCAATGTAAAGGTTCAATAGTTTCATAAAGAAGAATGATATCTTCAACTTCTTTCTTTCTTCTCCAATTTATCTTGCAACATGACAGGAAAACAGTCTTAAGGTTATCTAAAGCAATCACTCACTCATAAAATTGTTTCTTCACAAAATAATAGCTGACCGATCTAAGATGAAATGTTTCTCTTCATTTTCTTTCTTCTCTCTGTTTTCTCCACAACTTCTCGCATACCCTGTAGTTCAAAGTTAAGAAAATATATACTCTTCTTGACTCTATAAGGAGAAACATCTCCCAGTCTCTTTCTTAAAGAGACATTAACATGTTTTTATTTTTTAACCAAGAATTACATATATTATTTATTCTGTCTTTACTTATCTATGAACAGTAGAATATAAGTTCTTTGAGGGCATATGCTGTCACTTTGTTGAGAGACCATGTGGTGCAGAGGAAAGAGCAATACCTCTGAAACGAAAGGAAGAATGTGTTCAAGTACCACCCCTGAAGCTTAGTACCTGTGTGCTCTTGGGCAATCCACTTAATTCCTCTGGGCCTCAGCTTCCTCATCGGTAAAATGAGGAGATTGGACTAGATGACCTCTGAGGTCCTTTCCAGATCTAAATCTATGATCCTATATTATCCTTGACACTTAGCACAGTGCTTGTTGATTGATTGAAAAAGCATCAATAAAACATTTTTAAAAAAGAAGTCACTTTATTTCTCTGGGCCTCAGTTTCCTCATCTGTAAAATTAAAGCATTGGAACAGATGGCCTGAAATGCCTTTCTGCCTCTGTATTTATGGTGATAGCTGATGGGAAGAAGGAAAGCTAGAGGATATTCCGAGATGTTTATTACTGTGAGGACCCATCTCCCACACTTTGTGTTACTCAATCAGCAGCATGGCTGCCTTCCCAATGCCACTGATGTGGGAAGTAGTGGAGAATTGGGTGAAAGGAGACATCATCTTGGAGGGTGCTACGAAACTAAAGTAGCAGCAGGCTTCCTCTATGCCTTTTCCTACAGCATATGTAATTTCGACCCAACTGTTAAAGTTAGTGTTTGGGCATGCTACAGAATCTGACAGCAACAATGCACTACCCTAGGTGACTCAAGTTGAGTCTATTCTTGGCTTGATTTGGTCCTAATATTAATGATTTCACAATGATGAGAAGGTACTGATATTCTTGAGAATCATTTTTTAGGTCAGTCAGAAGGGTTCAGACTAACACAATATTTTCAAGCATCAAGGTGGTACAATAGATCATTTTGGACTTGGAGTTAGGAAGACCTGAATTCAAAATTCTGCCTCAGACACTCACTAGCTTTGGGATTCTGAGCAAGTCATTTAACTTCTCTCAGTCTCAATTTTCTTATCTGCAAATTGGTAATGATAATAGCATCTATGTAAAATACTTTTCAAACCTTAAAATCCTCTTAAAATATTAGCCATTATTTCAATTTTCTCTCTTCTAAATGGCTTGATTCTCCTAATAAGGTTCTAGAAACTCATGGCCTTTCCTCTTCCAGTGTGGGGTCCACTTTCGTTGGGGTCCACTAAATTTCTGTCACAGTTAAGTGAAAAATTTGTCAGGAAATAAAATTTCTTATGAATGAAGTTTTGTTTGTATCTTTGTTTTACCCTCCCTCTTTCAGTTCTTTCACCATTAAAACGACCTTGGAACCTCCTTCCTTTGGCACCCCCTTCTCTATTATAGACAAAATAGATTGCTACTTCACTGTTCACAGAGTTGATAATTGGAAGGTAAGAAGTATTGGCATGGAGGAGCCATTTGCTATGAATCATGCGGAAAAACTGCTAAGATAGAAAGTATATTTCCTTTCCCTTTAAAAATAAGAGAATAATTGTGCTCTTCTGCCCCCACTCCTACCCCCACCCTAGCAATAGTACTCAGGACCGTAGGTTTTTTTCAGAGGGAAGAAAAGGGAGAATGTGTGAAGGCAAATGAAGAGTATTTAGAAATTATGAAAAAACAAGTATATTTAAAGAGTTAAGTCTTCACCACCCTGCCCTTTGAAAAGAAAGGAAATTGCAGACACCGTGAACTAAATGACAGATTGTACGGAATAATGAAAGGCTTATTTGAGAAAAGGAGGAACCTAAGTTCCCACACAAAGGGACAGAGTTCCCAGACTCTTCAGCTGCCTGGCAAATGTGGCATGTACTGCCTTGAGCTGATGGGAAGGGAGCTGCGGTCAGGGGTGGAATATACTCTGTACAGCCAATTAATGTGCCAGGAAACCCCTTGTAAAAATCCCAAACAAGGGATTTGACTGAGAGTGTGGCTTGGGGGGAAGGAGAAGGAAGGGGAAGTGGGGAATGGAGAAAGTAAAAAGGAGAGGAGGGAGAAAGGAATTTTGCGTGTTAGGTAGAAAAAAAAATCCAATCCTTTGTGCGGATTTTACACTTCCACTCAAGCAGGAGATCAAAAGGGTTACTGGACGCAGAAAGAAAAAGTTCTGCAGCAGCAATTGCCTACAAAAGGGTGGAGGGAGGGAAAGAGGGAAGAAGAAGGAAAGAGGGAGAGCTCAACTTAAAAACATACTAATAACTATATCAAGCATTCATCAAAACATCCTTGCAGGAGATGAGGTAAGCAAAGACCAGGCAATCCCGATTGGTTGCGAAATACAAAATAATCCTGAGAACACTATGATTGAAAGGAAATTGAGTTTTTCTTACCAAAATATTTTCACTTGCTCCCTCCCTTCTCTATCTCTCCACCCCTCGTCTTTCCTCTTTCTTTCCTCTCCTTTTCTCTCCCCTCGCTCTTTCTCCAATCGTCACTCTTCACCCCACCCATCCTGTTCTCTTTTTCCCCTCCTCTCTATCTGATTAAATGAGATGGGAGTGTGGGAGGGGTGGTTTTGAAGCTCTCCCTTTAAGAGGCAGCCTGCAGTGACGAATTCTTGAAATTGCCCTTGCAGGATGGCATTCCACTATAAATTCATTGTTCGACCTCCTCTCATCTTCACATTTCTCTCTTCTCTCCTTGCCTGTATCGACCAACTGGGGATAACAACAAAAATGAAAATACAGAGCCACGGGGGATAAAGTGAGGACATCTTGCCATCTCACCAAAAACGATCTGGGTTTTCCTCAGTCACCTCAGGTTCTCAAGAGACCAAATGGAACCAACAAATTAAAAAGAAAGAACTGCTGGAGCTTAGTTCGGAAAGTGATCATTCTTAGCATCGATGATCCAGGGGAAGAGAGGAAATGCTGAAAAGTTGCCTGCTTTAGACTCTGAATCTTACTTCTTGTTGTGCATCTGTTTGCTGTATATGGCTTTGGGATTTTATGCTTTCTCTACCTTTCTCCTTATGCTGACTCTCCTCTTCCAGCTTTTTCCTAGCCAAAATCCAAATGTTATTATTATTATTATTATTTTAGAAAAAAACCAGTAAAGAAAAGTTACACACTAGGACCTCAGCTTTGACCATCCATAAACTTTTGTTGGTAGCGTTTTCTGCTTCCCTCCTTCTTACACTTCATTTAACACTACAGGCAACATAGACGCACACATACATATATATTAAATATACATATGTGTGTATAGAAAGATATAGATATAAAGATATGTGGGTAGATATGTTTATTTTAATCCATGGTAATTTGCATTACTGCTTATTCTAAGGGGGGGGAAGACCCTCTCTTTCCAATTTTTTTTCTCCCTTCATCTATTCCAACGCTCTGAGAGAGCAATATGGTCTTGAAGTTGGTTTCTCTGCTCATTTTGGCTTTCGAATCGCACTTTGCTTCTGCTGGAGTCCGGGCTCCGCCAACACCTAAACATAGTCAAACCCATCAACTTCCACCAATTGCAGTAGAGACAGCTGAAGCTCATCTCCACTACCAGCAGCAGAAGGAATTGCTGCAGGAGCAGGAGCAGCAAAAATACTCTCAGCAGCCCCCCTACACTCCCCCTATCAACCGCAAGACTAGAGGTCTAGTGCAAAACATTGACCAACTTTACTCCGGAGGAGGCAAAGTGGGATACCTCATATATGCGGAGGGCAAGAAATTTCTCTTGGATTTGGAACAAGATGGATCAGTGGGCTTCCCAGAGCTTTTGTATCCTGGTTTTGACCAGAGCAGTCATCAGGGGACATTGCCTCCAGCTCAGCGCCACCGGGATCACTGCTTCTACCGAGGCACTGTGGATGGGAGCGCTAGCTCCCTGGCCCTCTTTAACCTTTGTGGGGGGATGAAGGGCTTCTTCGCTATTAAACACACTCGTTACACCGTAAAGCCGTTGTTGCTGGGGACAAGGGAGGCTGAAGAGGGGCGGCTGTTTGGGGACCAGTCTCTTCGGGTGCCGCACGTTTTCATTAAAGAGAGCTTCAGTTTCAAAACGCTGAAGCTTCGCAGCAGCTGCGAGACCCCTAGTTCTCCCAGGACAGGCCATAGACAACCAGAAGCACTCCCTACTCAGGCTAACCAAACGTCCCAGATCGTGCCATCTCCGCAGCCCTTTGCAGCACCAGCTCCCGAACCACAGAAGGGGTGGCGACGTCAGCGGCGCTCCATATCCAGGGCCAGGCAGGTGGAGCTGTTGCTGGTGGCGGATGTATCTATGGCCAAGAAGTATGGCCGGGACTTACAGCATTACCTGTTGACTTTGGCTTCCATCGCTTCGCGGCTTTACAGTCACCCAAGCATCGAGAACCACATCCGCCTAGCGGTGGTGAAGGTAGTGGTGCTGGATGACAAGGAGAAAGGCTTGGAGATAAACAAGAACGCGGCCACTACTCTCAAGAACTTTTGCAAGTGGCAACACCAACACAACCAGCTGGGAGATGACCATGAGGAGCATTATGATGCAGCTATTCTCTTTACCCGGGAGGTAAGTTTAAGGCCAAACCAGGAGAACCACTGTCAAAAAGATGATTACCCTCTGAGCATCTGTATAGTAGCCTATCTGTGGTGTAATTTGCACAGTATGCATTTTGGAAAATCTGGGGAGCTATAGGGAGGATTAACAGAGAGGCTGCGGCAGCTTACTTCTTCCTCCCCCCCAAAAAAAAAACCCAACTGTTTTGAGACTTCATGGAATTTAATCTTATTTCATTGAAGTATCAGATTTACAGCTGGGAGCAACAAATAAATACTGACCTTGGATTAGGTACTGAACCTGGAAAATCTCTGACTTTAAATAGCTGGGAAGGTGGGACCTACATTGGTAGAGCTAATTTCCACTTGCTGTAGTTCCTTGTACCAATGAGATCACTCATCTAGTTAGTCCAGTGCGATCATTATTAACCTCTCTGTCCGTACACATTCTCAACAACTTCCTGCCCTGGTGCCATCTGAGGAAATCTAGGGTATCTAGCATTTAGGGATAGCTAGAGCTAATAGCTAACTGAACTAATAGCTAGGTGTATTAGAAGCTGCATGATATCTGTATAGATGTATCTAATAGAGCTATTGCTGGATCTATTAGAAGCTGTGTATATGTATACAAGCATTTAGTTTGAAAGGAAAGATAAAAAGTTTTTAATCTTAAAATCTTTCTGCCTCTCAATAAGCCTAGAGCAACTACTTGCCTATGTGAGTGCATTAACTTGATAATTTATATATTTTTTTGTGATTGGTTACTGCATTTATCAGAGTTCTGAATTATTTCTATATTGTTTTCATTTACATTATTATGGTTCTGTAAATTGTTCATTTTGCTTACTTCACTTTTTTTTCAGTTCTCACAAATCTTCCCGAGTTGCTCAGAATTCTTCATGTCCATTATTTATTATGGTGTAGGAGGATTACATTACATTCATGTACCAACATTTGTTTGACCATTCCTCAATTGATGGACATGTAATTTCCTTCCCATTCTTTGCTGTTACAAAAAGGGCTGCTCTGTTTTTTTTTAATATCTATAATTTATATTTCTTAATCTCTTTCATTCCTCTCCACTCTTCCTTATCATCTGTCAACTAACAATTTATTAAGCACTTACTTGTGTGTCCAGAAAGGAAGGCCTGACTTCAAGAAGCTCACATTTTAATGAGGGAGAGAATACGAAAAATAACAAGGTACTTACATATACATGGACAGTAGATAGATATAAGGCCATTCAATAGAGGGAAAGGCACTAGTAGCTAAGAGGAGGAGGGACTCAGAAAGGACTCCTGCAGAAGATGGGATTTAAGCAGAAAGAAGCCAGGAAAGCTAAGAGGCAGAGGGTTGAGGATGGAGAACATTCTTGGCATGGGGGACGCCCATTGCAAAGGCATTGTTTTTTGGAAAGGCAGTAGTTTATAGTGTTATAGAAATCTGGTCTCAGAGTTTTAAAGACCTGGATTTCAAGGCCTGACTGGACAAATATTTGGCTATGACCTTGGGAAAGTTATTTAATCTTTCTGTACCCCAGGCAGTTCCCCTATACGTTGCATGAGTTACTGCTCCAGATTGGTAAGAGTACCCTCACCTTGAGTTCCCTACACTGAGGAAACATCACAGGTCTGGACCAAAAATCAAGTAAACAAAACTGTTTCCTTCTCTTCTGTCCCTTTTATACCTAGTGGTGAAGGAATTTCAGGCAGCATGATGTCCAATGCTGGGAATCCAGAGACCTGGATTCTAATCCAGGTCCTGACCCTAACCCAGCAGGGTAACTTAGGCATGGCACCTAAAATTCTTGGACCTTGTTTTTCTTATGTGTGGAATGATGGAGTTGGTCTAGAGGGACTAAATTTTTTCCTCAAATATTACCTTATATGATTCTATACCTTGTAAATGCTCTTAAATATTATGAGAATCCAACATATGGTATAATCTGTGAAGCTGTTGTCTCAGCTAAATATTTCCTGATAACAAGTCCTTCTCTTGGCAGCAAATATTCAGTTAATGTTTGTTTAATTAAAAAGGACAAATGAATATGGGAGAATTGAGATGATTAAAGAGTCATTTATTAGACATTAAAAACCCAGTCAGTGAAGGAAATAAGGATTCTAGGTATTCTAGTGTCTTTTAAAAAAACAGTTTAGTCAATACTTCATATATTTATATAATTCATCTTTGATCTCCCTTTAAGGAATATAGCTTATTTATATGGTTTTTGGTATAGTAAAAGAGTGCTTTAGAGGTTCCAATGCTGAATAGTCTTTGCATAGTCTTTACAGCTGATTTTCATTCTGGGCTTTCCTTTTTATTCTCAAATTCAAATGTAACATTCTTATTTATATTTTCAAAAGAAAAATATGTAGGGTTTTGACATTTTTGTTTCCTTTTTTTAAAAATTATAGCATTTCAGAGCATCTCCTATATTGGAGAGTTATTTGGAATGGCCATGCATTGACTGGAGATCTAATCTAGTGTCCATGTGGTATGGTAAACAGACTTGGAGTTAGAAAGACCTGTGTTCAAATCCTGCCTCATACACTTCCTAGCTCTGTGACTAAGTAAAGCGCTTAACTTCTAGAAATGTTTTCTCATTTCCAAGATGATGAAGATGGCCTTAATGACCACTGCATTCTAATCCTGGTTTGCTCACTATCTGTTTTACTTTAAATAGGCCACTTTATGTCTCTGGGCCTAGATTTCCTCATCTGTAAAGAAGAGGTTTGGACTCTTTAATAGCATCTTGGTCTTATAGTCCTTTGAGTCTGTAATAAGAAAATGAGGCTTTGGCTTCATTGGGCTTAAGGGAAAACAGCATATAAACAATATCAGAGCTCTTCATTGGAAGAAAAGCAATACAGAACTTCCTAGTGTCAATTCACAATTTGCCTGAGATTCAGGTTTTACATATATAAATTGGTGATATTATTAATATTTGACCTCAGGTGACAATTGACTTATAAGCTCATTCTTTGAATGTCTGAGGAAAACACAGGTAGAGTTTTTGTGATTGTTTTATTTATTTATTTGCTTATTTATTTAATTTATTTATTTAGATTGTTTTTAACAAAACTAAAAATAACATGCAAGGCACAGAGGAGAGAAAACAGTCATTTAGGAAACTGAATGAAGTGTTTCAGGACACTCAGAATCAGCTAACTCTACTCCTCCCGCATTCTCTCTCCTGCTCCCTCACAGGGCACCTCTGCTTTTGAAGAGAGGGATCATTGGTTGTTCAAGGGCTAGGCATAAATGTAAACCAAATGTAAACAAAGAGACAGGTGTTAAAGACAGCAGTTTTAAACGAGAATGGACAGCATATTTCTTCGTATACAATGAAAAATCTTTCCCTTAATGAAATGATCCTCTGAAATTCCTTCTTGAAGGACATCTGTTTGTGTAACACTACCACAGCAGTTCTGTGGTTATCCTTTTGAAATAAAATACTTTAAGTCTTTTTCTAGTATGGGTTCCAAGTTTGGGAAGTTCCCCCCGCCAGTCGTCTTTCAAAGTAGTTTATGACTTTTCATGAATTCTTTCTTTGCTCTATTATAGGAAGATGCACAATAAAGACATCTAAGTCAGTTGTCCTGTTGTTGCTAAACTGCTTCAGGCAGCTGATTTTCATTCTGGGCTTTCCTTTTTATTCTCAAATTCAAATGTAACATTCTTATTTATATTTTCAAAAGAAAAATATGTAGGGTTTTGACCTTTTCATTTCCTTTTTTAAAATTATCGTTTTGCTAACTGAATCTGAGTAAATTGATACAAGCTTTTGACTCTTTTTGACTCTAAATGTTTTAGACTCTAAATGTTTGACTCTAGATGTTTTAATGAGTATTAACTCTATGCTATTTTAATGAGTAATTACATTTTTTTCTGAAGCGTTGGAATATAGCACATTTTAAAAAGATGAAAACATAAAAATTATAATAATTTTATAGTATTCTTAACTTTTTCAATTTGACTTTAATTATTGAAACAATATACTGCATTTATCCACAAGTGAAAAATTCTATCAGCCCTTACTAAGCAAAAACATACTTTCAGGAGGAAATTGGTTTTCTGGCATTTATTTGCTATGTAATATGGCAAAAAAATTCAAAAACCACATGTACTTATTTGAAAACCGCATTCAAGCTACCGATGAGTTCAGTTTGTATATGGTCTAATTTTAGTGAAGAATTGAGGAAAGTACTTAAAGACTTATTAAGGCTTAATTTGGTGGGGGTGAGGGGATGTGAAGTGTAAGAAGAATGAAAAGGTGGGGAGGGGAACAGGTCATAAAGGGTTTTAAATGTCAGAGGATTTTATCTTTGATCCTGGAAATGATAGGAAGCCACTGGAGTTTATGGGGGCGACATGGTAAGACTTATGCTTTGGGAAAATCACCTTGTTACCTCAATGGAGGATGGATTGTTATGTGGAAAGACTTGTGACAGGCCTACTAACCAGCAAGCTGTTGCAGCAGTCCAATTGTGAGTTGCTACACCAGGACAGTGACAGTATCAGAGGAAAAAAAGGGGTGCATTAGAGAGATGTTGCAAAGGTGAAATCAACAGGTCTTGGCCACAGATTAGATGGGGAGTGATCAGAGGAGTCAAGGATGACATCTAGGTTGAGAGCCTGGAGTACTGGGAGGATGGTGGTGTCCTCAACAGTAATAGGGAAGTTTGGAAATGGGGAGGGTCTAAGGGAAAAGATAATGAGTTCAATTTTGGAAGTAGTGAGTTTAAGATGTTTACATCTAGTTGGAGATGTACAATAGACAGTTGCAGCTGCAAGACTGGAGTTTAATAGAAAGGTTAATACTGTATAAGTAGATTTGAAAATCATCAGCATAGAGATGGTAGTTGAATCTTTGGGAACTAATGAAATCACTAGGAAGACCTAGGACAGAGCCTGGTTAGCAGGCATGACCTGAATGAAGATTCAGCAAAGGCTATTGGGTTATATTGGTAGAAGAACCAGGAGAGAGTAATGCCCAAAAATCTGGAGAGAAGA